TGAGCAGAATCACTCCAAGTGTCTCTCAACAAGTGATGCCTGGGCGTCTCTTTGCCAGAAGCGATCCCCATATATTCAATGTGAAGCATATGTATTTTTCTGTGGACCCTTATGTGTCATTTCTACTGATTATAATTCAGAATGACTAGTTAGTTTAAAATCTAACTTTTCTTTTAATCCACGTCAAAAAAAGAAATTGGAATGTTAATGTTATGCAAAGGGGATTTAACCATTAATTGCAAATGAATGATAGGTATGTGATAGGTATGACTTTTGAAAAGATTATAACATTTTAAACTCTCTATCCATTCGGAGCTTTTTTGACCTACTTTAATAAACAGTACCATGGGTACTGGACACACATGGTGTATTGATCTCAATTATTGTCTAATTGACAGCAATATTGAGTTCAAAACCTCATTGATACTACATTTGAGAACATACGTGTATATTTTAATGCATAGCCTATCGAAGCAATAATTCCTGATCTTGGCTCCAATGTTTCCGCAACTAATATGGTGGCCATTTTAAATTTTTGTTGAGACTTTGAAACTCATCGATGTTTCATCAAAGAACATATTAAGAGATTATTTTCGCAAATCAAAACGGTATTTTCTGAGTCATTGGTCGTCGAGACTTTAACACCTCATTGGTTCTACATATGAGAACACATCTCTAAGTTTTAAATGCAAATCGAAGCAACAATATTAGTTATGGTTATAGTTAAAAAAAGTGAATTCCTCTTATAACCTGTAGACAAGACTTTATAGATTTTAGGATGCTAAATCCAAATGTGGCCGGCATTATAAAAAAAGCAAAAATAAATTTGAATCTCATAAAACTACAGCGACATGGATTTTCACAATGCAGACACCTGGAATTATACATAAAGTACGTTACTAAATGCTCAAAAATGGAATTTTACGCGACTTAATGGCTACCTTTTTAAATATGCGAGCTCTTGAACCGAGACGCATGGGGGAGGGGGTTTTGTAATGACGATGTAGCAAAACAACTTAAAACGGGAATCCTATCGTCGGGGGTTTTAAAACGTGCCACTGACTGTTGTCAGACAGACAGACGAACGGACGGACGGACAAGTGAGTGATTGTAATAGCTCAAAAAGAATAGCTCTAAAAACAACCTTTATGACCTTAAATTAATTGTCGACTTCTTAATCAAAGATTGGCGACGGGCAAATTAATCAAGTCCTGCTTAGTGTGCTTTTAATCTAAAATTGCACCATAATTTATTGAGATAATTTCTCATTCTTGGAGTTCTATTATGCACTCGAGCCTCTTTCACTGCCGCTACGATACGATTAGATATATTACAGTCCAATCTCGAGCTAAATGCCTGAGAAATCGCGAAAATAAACATATGTTAAATGACCCAGTATAAATTCTGGGATAAATTCCAACAGAATCTCTTTAATTCCTATTCTCTGATGGATTTGATTTGTAATGTTATTTCACAGTGATCGATTGACTTGCAATACAATGTATGTGCCAGAATGAAACCACTTGATTTTTCATAGGTCTAGTGTTAACATTTTGGATGGCTATGTCATTCGGGTCACCTCTGATGCAAATTACGTGTTTAATCCGGCCCTGACTAACGAGGTACAATGGATTCTAGGCATGGACCTATGCGGTAAAGTACAAGCAATGTGAACGGTGAACACCCTAGGCAGCACATATGTCTAGCAGCTAGTTCAACAAGTCGTCATCAAATACTAAAAGCGAAAGTGTTAAATGTATTTTGTGATAATAACGTTAAGATGTATGATAAAAACCTAACAATAGATGCTACAAGGACTTTTGACTGATTGTATCTAAGCACGGAGTTAAAGAATGCTATGAAGAAGATACTACATTCGTAATTATTTAAAAAAAATTAGAGACAAGACCTCGATGAAAACAAATCGTTGGAATTATTACGCAATCTGGATCATCATCGCTAATCTGAGCTTCATTAAGTAGGGGTCGTCTTTTACGTTTGCAAAATGGGCCACTGCGCAAACCTATAATGGAATTGATCACACAATTCTGATTATATATTTCATTAATGAATATTGAAAATAAACAATATGTAATTTACAGATGTATTTGATATATGTTTCAATCCATTATCGGATGGGGCGTATGACTTGAACTCTGATATAATCTTTGTTGATGGAATCAGAGCCGCAATTACATAAATGTTCAACTCGCGAGGCTAGTTAAGGTAAGAACATGTAAATAACAGCTACTTAAGGTATCACTCTACATCCTTTTGTAGTGATACCTGTTTAATCCCATTCTGATTTATCAGAGAGAGAGAGCCTATTCTAAAGGATAGTAAAAGCGTTGGATCCCACAATAGTTTAATCCCTCTGTTAGAGTGATATAAAATAGAAAAAAGGCTAAAGTAAACATATTAATGGTAATTGATGGTAGAGAACTATTCGAAAAATCTTTATTTATGTCTCATGAAATGACGTCAACTACATTGTCCTAGAATATCTGATCTTAGAATACATTATCGATGAGGATGATATGTGATCCACAAAACCACAATAAAGTTCTATGTATCTATTTTTGCCTCCCACAGATTTTTTCTGTGTACAAATAATTTCTCATTTGAACTTATCGATGTAACCGATACCCATTATGTCATGGGTTAACTGTCAACTCGCTTTCAACTTTGATTTTCAATATAAAAAACGTCATACATTGGAAATCTAAGAGATGATCAATTGCTTAGGGATGTTCCAAGACATGTTCAAATACTATAAATTGATAGAATGCTGTTTATCCATTGTGTCACCCTCCTTTATTTACTAAAGAGTAGTTCAGAGAGGTTCTCAGAGATCAGAATGGTGTTAATCCGTTATGGATTCAACGTGTCATCATTGTATTCTAACTGCACTCTAGTTCAATGTGTCTTTAGTTCCATCGTAGGTTGACATAGTCAGGAAACACAATTTCCTTTTATAGATCAATCCCCTTGCATTGATATTAGAAATAAAAACGGCCAGACTCGGGTTTACTCTTTAACATGTAAATGAAATCAGTCGATGTCTAGTATTTGTTTCAATGATATGAGGATAATCGTAATGAGACATTTTCTGCTTGAGAACGTTCCCCCTTGGGAGATGATGAGACATACTGATGAGACTACTCATTGTGGCATTATACAGAATCAAGCAAGCAACTAACCAATCAACCAACCAACCAGCCAACCAACCAAAAACACAACCAAACAAACCAATCAAATAAACAATGAGACAATATCCGCCCAAACAAACTAATACAAACAAACAAACAAATACAAACAAACAAATACGAACAAACAGATAAACAAAAACACTTGTATTTTCTAAATACAAACAAACAAACAACAAACAAACACACAATAAACAAACAAAGACACTTGCGTCGGTCATTTTCCATCTCCAAATGAGAACTATCTGCGGAATGTCTTAAATTCTCATTACGTAATATGCTGTCGAGTGAACCAGATGGATCGTACTTAACCAGAGGTCTTTGTTTATCTACAAGTCAAGATGACCATCAAATAAGCTTTCATTGTCTGACAACGGAATAATTCAAACCTGATTATAGTGTATGAATGATTTCAACGCTGAATATTGTTGCAACATGAACCCTATTCAATAGTTTGATTTAAAAGAACTAGGTCGCCTCGCTTTCATTTTGATGTCACTTTTTATGACCGGTGTTCGGTGGTTGGTGTTCGACATCTGTAGCAAATGGTAGGTAGTGACATTTTGCATGTTAATGCCATATTTTTATATTTACTGGATAACAAAATACCGGAAAGGTTTTTGGATGACCAGCCTTGGAAAGGAAACACTGGACATGTCATATGAAAGAGCCGAGCTGGCATTTTTCTCTTTTTGAAGTCTTGCCCTTTGCGCTATCGGCGTCAAATAAAACTAAACTTGCCCTTTGACCAAAATCTGACCTCTGCTCGGGGTTGTCTAAGAAGACAGGAAATTTACTATAAAACGTTTCATTTGTTTTCTTCCATTTTCCTGTTTCAACTTCACCGCCAAGTGTACAGAGCGTGTGAATAGGCTCTCCACAATAACAGCATATTAAAAGAACGAAGATTTCATTTGTTTGAATATCAGTGACGATTAGATTACAGGCATTAAACTACAATTTCCTATTACCTTATCATGAAATGGTCAAGTTTCGCTATCAAATTGATAAACCGTTAACTTTTTCAATTTTTATAAGTTTTGTTGTCTGTCCGAAGCAAAAAATCATTTATCTCATAAATAAAGATTTTTATTTAAAACAGTACACGTTATGAACGTTGGCAAATAATTCTATATGGAGTTTCCCATTGTGAGTTGTATATAATATTCCCTGATTGTCAAAGCCTGGTACAATAGATGCAGATGAAGCACTCTTTTCAAGAACCAAATTAAATCTATCAATTGCCTGACTTCCCGGGTCGCATTCCTTTGTGGTAATATCGTTTTGTTTCAAACACAAGCGGATTTAAAATGTTGAAACGTGTTTGGTCTGTCTGAGAGAACATTTAGGCAAGTGTGAAATTGTGTACATTTCAAATGTGAGATCTTCTGGACATTATCCACTGACCGACCAGACTCAAGTGGCTATTTGGTCTTATCATTCTGCTAATTGCCTTAACGAGTATTTGTGCTCCTTTTGTTTACAAGCGAGTCATTATATCATCATTGACTGTGATAAATCCACAATCAACATTTTGCAACTTTGAAACCGAGTCATGGGACACAAAAGCGCTAAGCCTCATCAATGCATATAAGTCTTTGGAAAAACTTAATCCGTACAAATATTAGTATGACCAGTTTGTTAAGCCCATGTAAGCATAAAGGCTTTACTTATTTAACTCTGTTTAATGTGGAAGTTTTCAAAGAATATTTAAAGTTGTGTTAAGAGGCCAGAGTGATTTAACAATAGCGGTGGGGCGATTTTAACGTTCAGTTGTTTAAATCTGTTTTACAGGATCAATTTTATGGAAAGTGGAACCTTGCTTTTAAAGTTATAGAGACAAACGGAGATTAACCAACGAGGCACGGCTAGTTGCTACTGATAAACCGCCCAAAGATGCGCTTAAAGATGAAGGAAACCACGAAGCAGCGGAAGATATCGTTGAGGACGCTTTTAGGCACGTCGAGAGGTAGATAAGACATATATATATTGTATGCCTTTGCCCGCTCAAGATTTATCACAAATGTTATTTAGACATTAACTTTACTTAGCATACATGTCAACAACTTGCTCACCAATCAGGCCAATCAGGTATCAGTCAATTTGTTTGCTCTTTTCGATGGGCTTTTGCAGTGCTCCTCATATCGGCACATTCATTCGCTAAACACACGGATACCGTCTCGAGCGTTAAAAGAGATTAACACACGGACTATTTATGCTCTGAATTAATCAATTCGAATTAAGAAAATAAATAATTATTTATTAGTTATTATATTCAATTTATAATTGTTCATATTACAGTATTTACGTCGGCGAAGGTGAACTAACGTGACGTTTTCAACCGACAGCATGGACATCTTGTCTGACAATTCTGAAAGTCGAGAATATATATTGCACCATAAAATTCTCCAGTGACGAACCCAAAAACTGTATATCTTACATCAGACTTGGATTGAGAGATAGAGAAAGAGAAGATGGCAACGAACTATTGGAAAACAATGGAATTATTCCTATTAATATTTTTGTGTCTGAACCATTCCACTTTACAATGTGGACCAGGGAGAGGGCCGGGTCGACCGAGAGGCTCTTATAAATTAATTCCACTAGTCTTTAAACAACATGTCCCCAATGTGTCAGAAAACACCTTAGGGGCCAGTGGGTTGCCAGAAGGAAAAATATCCAGAAATAGTCCCAAATTTAAGGATTTAATAACGAACCATAACACGGATATTATATTCAAAGACGAAGAAAATACGGGAGCAGATAAAATGATGTCTGAGGTTCGTATATTTTAACCAGTAAAGTCAAGTAAATCTAACAAACATAAATCAACATTTTATCCTTAATAATTATTTATTAACCTTAAGTAACACTTTATGAAACATATGTAGATTTTTTAATAGCAAAGATATGACACATATCCTCAACGTAAGTATGTGAGTACAAATATCTAAAACAAATATTTATTATAATACCAGTAGAAATAGTCATCGTTTTTGACGATGAACTTATTTTATGTTTAATTATTTTTGACGTTACATGAATCCCTTGCCATGCTTGTTTGAATGTATTGTAGGTCATAGTTTAGTTTCCAGGCGAGCCACATCTAAGTTACACCACAATTGAGACGATTCGGTTAGAACTTATCAGGGCTTATATACTGTTACACAATAGTGGATTTTATAATCATTGGGTATAATTATGTTATCTTAAATGCCACAAACCTTAGCCCCATTAAGATCTTACTCTCGGTTTACAGAGAGATTGTACCCTGTCCCATTTTTATTTCTTCAGTTTCGGTTTAACCTGATGATAGTTGCATTTTCTCATGTACGCTAAAAAATAACAAATTATTGAAATTATGTCGAATAAGTCACCTGTGAACTTCTCAACTGAAATCACATTTGGAGATAATGCACTGTTATAATCTACTAAACGTTATTCTATGTATCAGAAATATTTGATAAGTTAACTAAATATAGCCGGTGTAATCGTCAAGAATTTAAAATTGTTTTCAATTTTGTGTGACCAAAATCCACGTTAAATCATACGGATGTAGATAGTCGTACACTTTAGGCGCACAACTTCAAGAGGTGCCTTCGCCAATAACGTTGTTTATTTGGTCATTGAAAAGTTGAATTAAAATCATGTTACGTCGAGTATATGACAACCTATGTCCCAGAGGTTTATCATTTGTAAAGAGCCATAAATGTGGCTAAAGTTCAGATGTCCTGTGATAGCGTTGAATAAAGTTGTTCTTCGGCTAGAGACAAATGAGAAAGTCCCAACTGGGGTCAAAGGGATGAATAAAAGTCACTTAGTAGATAAGTCCTCCTTTAATCAGGTCCTTCTAGGATGATTAATGGGAGAAAAGAACATATGAAACCAATCCAAGTATGATGTAAATATAGTCATCGAATTCATAAGTAGGAATGGTCATTAAGTAATCGCTCTAGTTGTCACGCGCTTGTATCAATGGGCGAGTAATGTTTTATCATAATGCAATTTCTTTGTGAAAGAAGTTGAAAGTAAGAAGGTAAAACTGGCGTGTGTTGGTCGTGGGGCGTTCGACAATATTCCCATTTAGGATTTTCATTTTGAAGATCAGCTTAACGTCAAATCCATTAATGTTAGGATTATATGTGTATTCTGTGCCAAGCAAGATTGAAATTCCAACATATAATGAACATAGAGAGATTAACAAATGCCTCGTTCAGTCAGCCACTTTTACTAATGCGTATGAATTAATTTCCTTTGTCAAATAATTTGACAAGAAAATCTGCCGTGTTAACTCCTTAGTCCATTGAAACATATAGACACAAGGTTGGGGAGTCTCTCGAGACGTTTTGCCGAAACAAGAAATGTGGGGCTAGTGTTGTTTAAGCTGAGCCTCTAGAATTTAATGGTTTGAACATAAAGTTTTATGTAAAATACTTCACTTTGTGTCTGACCTCAAAGTTATATTGAAATATAGTAAGTAGTTGTGTATGATTGAGAGGCATAAGTAGCACCGCCTAAGTGAAGAGAATCGATAAGGGGAGATTTGGTACCTTAGTTGCATTCAAGTGTCTTCTTTCAATTCACACCATAATATTATAATCTAAACCATTTCACTATTTGCTATCACCTTCAGAAGAATCCATTTGACTTATTAATTAAATGATAAATGTGTTATTGTTCTTGGTGCATAATGTTAGTTTGTACAATTTGTCAAGAACGCTTGCATCGCTAGTGCTTTTAACTCCTTTTGCAATCTCAACCATGCTAAAACCATCTCAATAACTTCATATTCCGAACGTTTCATTTGGCAATTTCGTCATATACCAATTATACAGAAACCTTACTTACAATTTTGTTGTTTCAATTTATTTCATATAATAAGGCTGATGCTGGTTATGTTGCCTAATAATACATTTTGATGTCAAGAAAATAAAGAACCGAGATACAGAGTATACTCGTGTGTTTCAATGCAAAAAAGTACAATATTTTCAAGAAATATTATAATTCAGTTATATTCAATGACAAGTTAAGTATATTGCATCACATTATACTTTTTATTTACATTATATCCTCTACAGGAATAAGAAATTACTGGTTCAGTAATAAACGTTTAAAGTCTTGAAGTCGGTAAAAGACTGGCAAAAGACACATGGTTGATCTTTCAAACACTAACAGGTTAAAAAGTAAAATTTTGTGTTAGATCTATCCAGAAAAAAGTGTTTGCTTTAACATAAATTATAGTTTAAATTGAAATCCGAAGTCATTCTAAAAATCATGTAAAACAGTTTGCGAATAAATTCAAAGATTCCAAGGGGGATTAAGAAAGAAAGGATTAGAAATGTATCATCATTTTAACTTTTTAAAGGATCCTTTAAAGTGACTGTATTATAGCTATCTATTCAAATGTCACAATTCTTAATAGAGAAAGTTAGACCAAAAATGTAAATAAAACAGATTTTCACAATAGTAGCCACTTTTTCAATTATGTTTTCTATGGATCTCAAGAGGGGGTTAAACATAGCCTTTTAACCTCTTTTTTCTCATTCAACTCCGAGTCCTTTTCTGAACGGAGGAAGCAGCGAAGACTTCTGCCGCCGATATGATGTTGAAAGCTTGTTCTACTTTGTTTGGTGGTTTCACTCCTGTGCCACGCCAATTTGGATAGGACCCGACCTACACCAACATGTTAGCAAGAACAACAATAGATTGTTTGATTTCCATTTAAAAACAAATACGTATCAAAAAGTGCAGACGAGATGTCAACCTTTTTTGCGTTTTGCAACTTGTTGAAACTGTGTAGAAATAACAGAAATACTGTTTCCACAAAGGGTTGGTCTATTGTAAGTCAATGATAAACGTTCAAACATTTAACACCCATTGAAGTTGAACATGTTTATCCAACATCTTGGCATATCAACTAACAGCGGCCGTTCATTGAGAAAAATATTGGCTGGAGTACTATAGCATATGAATCAAATGTGTTTTAGACAATAGAGTTGTCGATTCCGGTTGCAGCATATTGCAAGTTTCATTAGTGGTCTTATTTTTTGCACTAAAACAGAGCCATATGTTAATTGCTTAAGTAGAATTGTCAGATATCAATTAACAATTTCTTAAAAATATTGACTTGTCCTACTCAATTAAGTAGCATCAAATAATAGCACCGGTAACGTAGTGTATATAATCCGGTTTAGTTTGGTATCTGGCTGGTTCTAACTATGCATGACTATTCCAAATTAGGTCACCACAGAAATATACGGAAGCCCGACAATGGTGCAATGACTACCATCACACCGGTTAACAATTCAGTTAAGATAGCTCAAGTAACAATAAAAATTAAGAAGGCAATGTCATCTGGTACTATTGCCACCAGATACTTCAAATTATTGATGTATCGGCAGTGCCAAAGAGAACATCATACTTGTAGAGGTTTAGTAATGTGATCAGGTACTATTGGCAGATGGTACATCGATATTTTTGTTTATCATACTTCTGCTATATCAGAATATATAGCCTCTCTTACTCATAGGTTTTTAAGGAGTCGTGGTCAAATGGAAAGTCATATTGCATCTAACCTTGATTTTCATGGTCAGAAGGTAAATGGCCAGGACGGGGTGCTTTGGTCCCTAACTAAACACAAAGTTGGATAGAAGGTAAAAGGCATTAACGAAAGTGTATGGTCTGTGTGTACTTAAGATATTAATGATTCAATCCAACACCTATTCTAATGTCCAAGTTCAAACACACTCGTTTTTAATTCCATAGCTGATCTAATATCATCATATGTAATACTAATTTGTTTCCAGGTCCCTCCATTAGATCAAAATGGGTTCAGTGTATTGAGTAAAATGGATCTTCATGGTATTGAGTTCAGTGTATTGAGTAGAATGGATTCGGTGTATTAAGGTCGAATAGGTTCAGTGTATTGGGTAAAATGGACCTTCGGGGTACTGGGTTCAGTGTATTGAGTAGAATGGGTTCAGTGTATTGGGTAGAATGGGTTCAGTGTATTGAGGTTGAATGGGTTCTGTGTATTGGGTAAAATGGACCTTCGGGGTACTGGGTTCAGTGTATTGCGAAGAATGGGTTTAGTGTATTGGGTAGAATGGGTTCAGTGTACTGAATAGAATAGGTTCGGTGTATTGAGTAGAATGGGTTCAGTGTACTGAATAGAATAGGTTCAGTGTAATGAGTAGAATGGGTTCAGTGTATTGAGCAAAATTTACTTAGTGTATTGGGGAGAATGGGTTCAGTGTATTGAGGTGGAATAGGTTCAGTGTATTGAGTAGAATAGATTCAGTGTATTGAGGTAGAATAAATTCAGTGTATTGAGGTAGAATGGGTTTAGTGTATTGGGTAGAATGGGTTCAGCGTATTGAGTAGAATAGGTTCAGTTTATCGAGTAGAAAAAGGTTCAGTGTATTGGGTAGAATGGGTTCAGCGTATTGAGTAGAAAAAGGTTCAGTGTATTAAGTAGAATAGGTTCAGTATATTGAGTAGAATAGGTTCAGTGTATTGAGTAGAATAGATTCAGTGTATTGAGGTAGAATGGGTTAAGCGTATTGGGTAGAATGGGTTCAGCGTATTGAGTAGATTAGGTTCAGTGTATTGAGTAGAATAGATTCAGTGTATTGAGGTAGAATGGGTTTAGCGTATTGGGTAGAATGGGTTCAGTGTATTGAGTAGAATCGGTTCAGTGTATTGAGTAGAATAGATTCAGTGTATTGAGGTAGAATGGGTTCAGTGTAATGAGGTAGAATGGGTTGAGTGTATTGGGTAG